GCTAAAAAGACCAGTATGTAGGGGCAGTTACGAGTATTTACTTTGAATTTTGCAAGTATAAGCATTTGCTTACTTTTATTCATACGGGCCATTGTCTCAAAAATCATTAAAATCATTTATACATAAATCTATATGCTTAACAGTTATTGACAGCGGCGTGCGTCTACAGAACTAAAAGGGTCATTTTTTAAATGGAAAGTTTTTGTGAGGTATTATTAAAGAATGAACCTTTTTCAATATGACAACATAAAAATTATGATCAAATTAGTAAAATTATAAAATTAATGAACACTATTGTGAAATTTGGTATTCAGTGGTTTGAGGGCTCGAGTCATTCGTTTCTGGGTTCCTATATCCATTCTTAATTTTGACCCTCTGATCCACTAGGTTATAGCGAGAGCTTTCCAGGCCCACTCGTGACCCCTAACTACGACGCTCCGTTCTCAAGACATCGTAGTTTATGTGTTTGCGCTGGGCTGGGTATTTGGGCCTCTACCTCTGTTCCGAAAATCCGACTGTGTCTGCGGTTGGTTTAGGTGGAGATGCGTTATTAGGTTAGGTCAAGATGCGCGGTTAAATTAGATTGCGGTTATGTTAGGTTAGGTTGATACCGCGGTTAGGTTGGGTCGAAATGCAGTTAGGTTAGGTCGAGATGTACGTTCAGGCTTTTCAGAACGCTTTATGTTGAGGAATTCTCATTATGTCATTTAGTACTTGTAATTAGTAAATTAAATAAAATTTGTACTTTCTCTTTTGCACATCTTTGGTTGGAAACACGTGTAACTTTAATTAAAGTTTTATAGTGGTTTTTGGGTAATTTTTCTTTCAGTTTTTATATTTTATCTTTTTTAAGAGCTAAGGGAGAGATGTCGCTATGACCATCACTTAAGGATGTGCCAAACCATTAATTTTACTGTTTCAGCTGAACCAATTTGGCCGAAATTCTTTAGATAAGTGAGGCCTGCCTTTCCAAAACGTTGTAAGTGCCATTTTTATAATTTTTCAGGAGACTCAAAAAAGTGAAAATGTAAAATAATTTTTGACTACTGGAGGGTAGCATGTTGGAAGGAAAGACTCGTAATACAATCAAAGAAATTGACTTGATAATAATAAAAACTTGTACACACAAAACCTTTTATAATTTCAAAATGTTGTAAGTGCAAATTTCAGAATCATGAATCCCCAAGTTATAATAATAATAATAATAATAGCTGATATGTCTAAGACGTGATTGTTATTTTACATGATTTACTGATTTTAAAAGTGTTGTCTCATTTTGATGTATGAAAATTGAAAATCTTCCATAACTTTTAAATCTAAACAACTTTTTTTAATACATTTTTTTATATCTGTTAAAATAAAGGCAGGTTACTCCTGACTAATTTTTAGAATTCAGCAAAAAACAACCTGATTTGGCTAATTTTTTTTAATATCTTAGTTTCAGACTAAGCAGGAGCGATCCTCAGAGCCTGAAGATCCAACTCCAAAAAAATTGTCATATAGATCTTGTGCGCACTCAATCCATGGACACATTGTATAAATACACGTATACCTATTACATTAAGTTAGAAACATCTGGCACACACATATACAGTATTGAATTTTCTTTAATTATAACTGTGGACAATTAAATTAATTAGGCAGGGAAAGTTTTAAAGTGTGTTTTAATGTGCATTAAAAAATACATCCTTTATTTGTACTGGTTCTATAAGCCATGATACCTGTAATTCAATAACTTTATCCCACAAAATGTTAAAGAAAATTGGCGAAAACACATTAGAATAAACAAAACACCGCACCAGAGGAGATGGTTTATTAACCGCGTGATGTCAGAAAGAAATTCAATATGGCGTCTAACCTACGCAATTGTCATATCTTTGAAGCTTATTGTATCATGGGCAGATACAAAGTTTTGACTTTTGAATCTGCGCATTGTAAAACACGGCACCCCCAAATTAATTACAAACCAATTTTTCCGTGGGATGGCACTTACAACGTTCTGGAAAGGCAGGCCTCAAATAGTATTAGAATAAATTCCAGATGTAACTTTTTTATTTGAATTTTTTCTGCAATTTTGTATAAGTATTGTGTTAGTGTCTGTACCAGGTAAGGTATTTCATGAAAATAGATCTTTGTTGACCATTGCCGTTGGCGCAGTGAGCAAGCGCATATTTGTGACGTTGATTTAACATCACTAAAATTTGGTACAATTGGTTCCAGTATTTTTTCTATGAGATAAAGACACCGAATCATTTTCACTGAAATTTCCCACTTGAACCAGCATCACATAATCAAGAAAATAATCTTACAGAATGAACCTTGGAAAGAACAAATGTGTTACTCAACGAGTTACAACTACACAAACGCAGTGAGAGATGTGATCTAGTAGCTAAACTGATCTTAGGCTGTTGACTGAACTTACCTGGTCAGGAAAAAATTTATGCCTCTACTTATCTGCCGCATCCACCCTGTAAATCTAGGATGTAGTAGGGTTTCGCAAATGGCAAAATAGATCTTATTACAATTATTAATTATTTTGAATTGCCGTACTGTGTAATTTGCGAAGGTTCTTTACAAAAGTGAAACCACTCTGTTTACAACTTGATCCAAACACTTACAGTAACAGTACGATTATGGTACCCTCTCTTAGCAACTATCAGATTTTGTTGTTAACTTCAAGTATGATTGGCCCTGTATTATATTTTTATTTAAGAATGCTTGACGACTTATACCCGGTGGTCACTCCAAAGCATGAACCAGGTGACGCAACTGCATTTGCCAATCAAGTACAGGCGGCCGCCGAGCATTTATTGGCCGTCGTTGATGGTAAACAGAAGGAAGTGTTCGACGGATCATATAGTCAAATTAAGGAAGTGATTGGAAAGATTCACGAGAGTGGATATTTCGATCAAGCTGTGGTGAGTATTCTCGATATCTTTGAGTTGAATAAAGTTTTATTGTGTGTTTTCTTTTATCCCAATGGAGAAACTTGCCTTTTTGTGCAGGTTTTTAGAACCATTTTTCACAATATAAGCGGTAAAATGACATTGGAATGGTGTAATGTAAGCTGTAGAAATAATGAATATGGATATTTCCGAGTATATTTTCAATAGAGGGGAATAAGCATGCGGCTCTGACGTGTCATTTTTGTGTTGATAAAGGATTGATTGCTGAATTTGAATCAAGTTTATTTGCATTTAAGATTGGTTTTGTAGTTTTATCAGAGTTGAATGTTTATTTTTTGTGGCAATTGTGTTTAATTTGAGTTTATTCGTGAGGAAGGTTTTTAGTATAGTAGGATTTTCCTTAGTTTGCGCCGACGTCATCAGTTTATTATGACGTCATCACTAAGTTTGTTTACATAGCATCATACAATCAATGGAAGAGAATACGTATGTAGGCATCCATACAGACAGTGCTGCATTGTGGGTGAGACCCTTCGCATCAACGACGTCTATTGACCAATTACTAAACAAAATACTGCGGTAGTTATTTATAACAGGTTGTCTTATGTCGCGATCTTTTACTAACAAGGAGGACATCATTACTTGGACGTAAAGGAAAAATTGTATAAAAAATCATTGCAATTGTTTTCTCGTAATAACAACGCTTGCAGTACTTAGCAGCAGAAGTCGAGAAGCGACTGCAATCTTTACTAACCTCATACTCACAAGCAGAGCAACAGATACTTTTATGTCAAAAGAGTGGACGTTTTGCAGCATTTTCGAATGTGGGTAGCAGTTGGTGAAATAGAAGTCACTATTCGCAGGCTAATATTTAATGCATCTGCAACTCTCTGTGAAATAAAACTTGTTACGTATGTGAGTTCTTATATTACTAAAGTAACCACTATACTGCTGCTGGTAAAACAAAAGTAAAGTGGACCACCATAAGTTGCTTACTTTTTCTTGATAAACCTGATGGCATTTTTGTGTTATACAACCTTTGGTGTAGAATATCTCAGTGAGATTTACTTCTATAATTGTTCGTTATGAAACTAATGGATTTTTTATCGGCTAATGCAGCAAAATGCCATGAAGTAATGAAAACGGTAGCAAACAGTTGTCAAATTTAACGTGTCGCAATGTAAACAATATTCCCCTACAAATGGAATTGATGACGTGCGCGCAAACTAAGGAAAATCCTACTTCGGTATCACTTATTTCAGTTGACTATTAACTGCGGTTAACATTTTATGCAGACGGTATGCGTTTAATTAGTGTTTACAGTACTAGCGTAGGTAAATTGTACATTTCTAATGGGACTAACATTTTAGGCCGCAGATTACGAAACTACCGAGGTTAATGATGCCGATCAGCATTGCAACATTGAGGTTCCCCAACAAATTGAGCCTTTGGAAGAGGAGATCCCTGCAGTAGACACCGTCACCATAGAAACGAATAGACCGGTTCCGTTACCTATTGAACATCCCTTGGAGCAAATACAGCAAACTGACCAACAGATTTATTACCAGCCTCCACCAAGGCCTATTAGTGAGGTGTTGGGCCCTGGTAGTTTTCACTTTCTTCAGGTTGGTAGGCGTTGTTGTAATACAAAGAATATAGAGGGTGCACTTTTAGGACTCCGAATTGGACACTCCCGACACTTTACCCTCGCAAACGTTCACCAACACTAGCTACGTGCAAGCGCCGCCTCCTCCGATTCCCCTTCCCCCAAATTTCCAAACTTTCAATAACATCAACGTTCCTCCGCCTGGTAACGGTATGAACGAAGAAATAGCTCCCCCTTCGGTCGTAGCCCACCCACAACCGCAGCAAATCGAAGAGTCCCAAAAAATGCGCGGTCAGCCTCCGCGACCCCCCAATCAGATGTACTATCAAAATAATCACTCAAACTCAAATAACTACAACAATAATCGACCTCGTCAACCGAGAAGTGGGCCTAGGACCGCCAATCGACATCAATAACGGTTGTACATTGTCCATTTTTCCAGACAAGACAATGACACGATTAATTTTTATTTTAAAACAAAAGTATTGTCGAAGTATAATAATTAGGCATAATTACAACATCTCTAAAAAGTTTATTTGACCTCTTATATTGTGACAACAATATTTTCGATTTGTAAATAACACAATATTGCATTTCTAAACTAAATAAGATGCGTTTATACTTATTTCTACCCTTTCAGTATCGCGCCGTAGTGGTATATTTTATCTTAATTATTCGTTTATTTTACATCTCTCAATTGTTTGAAGAAATTACTAAGTAAATTGCGGCATTGTAGTTTTAATAGTAGACGTATGGGTTGTTTTTTTATTATCAAAAATATAGTGAAATTACAGTGTCCAAGCAGCTAGTCTTCTTGTAGTTCATTATTATGAGAAGTTTGTAATCTTTTTCATATAAAAACAAAACATTAAACAGCCCATAAATCCAAGATTGCTTTTTTTAAAAATTGTAACATATTTTGCCAGTTTAGTTTCTTACCAAGAAGTATGTATGATATTTGGTTATTTTCAATAAAAGGCACAAACAGCCGACATTGACTTCTTCCCTCCATGATTTCCCAAGGTTCACTAAAAACAATTATTATATAGGACTAAAGCATATAATCAACTTAAAGAACACTGAGAACAAGACGTTTTCATTTTGTTAAGATTTAAATTTAAACAAAATTCTCGATAAAATAGCATTTGTTGTTAAATTTAAGGTAACTAACAACAATAAAATTGATAATATTAAACTATTAGGGTCCAGGGGTTATCGAAGAGTGTAAAAGAGAAAAGATGGCTGCTGCTTAAAAATTAACTTATTTAAGTAATCCTGTAAATAAAATAAATTTTAGACCAGTTCATACCTTTAATGAATTTATGACTCTCTTAATGGGGATTTTTAGCGTATTTTTGATTCTAAAAAAGAAGCTAATTATTTCACCGTCGTTTGTTTGGACGCCTTATAAATCAAATGAGATCTCGGCAACGGAATATTGTAGAACGTTCTGGTTTTTGGCATATTCGTACAATTGTGTTATTCCTGCAGTGCTTAGTCTGAAAGCAGAAAGTCATAAGTAAATAATCTGTGACTCCACGTTGGGCGCCAAATAATGATGTGTGCAAAGGCATGCAGTCACTATGCCACCCACAAAACCACTATGTCTACCCAACAAACACTTATCTTTAAAACACGCTTTGAATAATAATAGGCGCTTTCTTTCGGTGATCCAAACGCGTTTGGATTGTCAAATCACGTTCTTTCGAAGTGTGATCTTATAATCATGATTACTAAAATCGTGAACAAACTGAACATAAAATTTTTTTGACACGAATTCCTAACCTATAAATGCAAGGATATTTTTGCTCAAATGTTAGATTAGTCAATATTTGTAACTGAAGAGGAGCATATCGTGCAAGTACTTCCACTTGTATTTAAATTATTTTCATAATCCAAACAAAAAATACATAATTCGAATGCAAATGTGCGCTACGTAAACTTAACCAAACTTTGATTCAAATTCGCGCGTTCTTTCGTAAAACGTGATCCTACGAATCACGATCTCGAAATCATGATTGCGAAGTAGCCGAAAGAAAGCGCCTATAGTTCTCATTTATTGCCATAGATTGTAAAAAAACAGTTTACAGGAAAAAACCTACCTATTGTAATGGTACCAGTATATTTATAGATTTAGAGATGTATATCACTTCCAAGGAACACTAACTTTCGTAATTATGAAACGATTTCGACCTAACTTTAACGGTTGGTCTAACTCATAAATATTTCGGTCAAGTTCGTGAATCAGTCAATTCCGCAATATTGGAACAAAATGGCGGACATAAGTCTTATGTACACCGGGTCGGCCAAGCCGAAAGGGATTTTTGTTTTAAGTTTTCTAAAGCCCATCACACAATGAAAAAAATATGGAATAAGAAATAATGACGCCGTACACGCAAAACACAACAAACAAATAGCAACAGACTATAAACCAATCAGAATACCATGCCGTTTGAATTTATGTCATTATAATGGCAGATAAATGTAAGGTCACAATTCGACATGACAAGGTATATTGATTCTACAATCAATTTTTTAGCTCCAATATGGCGGATTATGATAAGTTGTCGCCACTGTCCTTAAGTCACTGTAGTAAATACGGTATTATCTAGTGGGAATAATGCGCGAGCACGCCGTCTAAACGCGCCTTTAGCGAAGTGTGATTCATCCTGACATGACAGTTACATTACTGAACAGCTGAGGTATATCATGCAAAGAGGAATTTCCTCTTTGATATCATAAATAAAGGTGTTGTTATTTATATCATGGTATCACAGACCATCAACGGGCATGGTATTGTTGAGTGGTATTTAGTTACTATCTGTGCTGTACGTATTACGCGATGCGCGCCCAAAGTTGTTCGTATTCGTTTTTGTGGGATCAAATAAACAAACAGTGTGTCGCGTAAACGGCTTTTGCCTAATTACTAACGTACCCAAATTACATTTCCTCCAGCGCGTGGTGTCACATTTTACCTTGAAGAAACCGTTCAACATTGTGCTTGTGCGATAATGTCTGCAATTGTAAAAGTGGAAATCAAAGAAGAAGAAATAATTGAATTTATGAATCACAAAGTTGTACGTAGCAATGAAGTCTCCGGAACAATCAAACGTGAACTTGAAAGTACCGTCAATGGGGATTATTTTAATGTCACGTGTAATTTGAAAGATGAAAATGAGGTACAGGAATCTGAAGATTTCTCGTGCACTAGAGGTCCACTGATTTCACTAAGTTTTAATTGTGCTCAGTCTGATTTTGTAACAAATAATACAGCAACTTGGAGAGGACATCTGCATACACATAAGATTTTGAGATTTTTAAAATGCTCTTTTTGCGATTATGCAACCAATAACAAATACAGTTTTAAAATGCATCTTTTGATCCATAAGATCGACAAAGATTTGAAATGCACAGAGTGCGATTATGAAACCAATTATAAATCCAATTTTAAAATACATCTTTTAACACATAAGGCTACCAAGGACTTGAAATGTACACAGTGTGATTATGCAACTAATAACAAATTCTATTTAAAAACACATCTGTTAAGACACAACAGTCTCAAGGATTTGAAGTGTGATAACTGTGATTACGAAACAAATATCAAATACAATTTTAAAAAACATCAGTTAACGCACAGCAAGACTGGGAAACATTTAAAATGTGCACATTGCGATTTTGCAACAAATCATAAATCCATTTTGAGAGAACATCTGCAAACACATAAGACTACCAGAGATTTCAAATGCTCTCTCTGTGATCATGCAACCAATAACAAGTCCAGTTTTAAAATCCATCTTTTAACTCATAGGACTGCCAAAGATTTGAAATGCACTCAGTGTGATTTTGCAACCAATTTCAAATCCCATTTTAAAACGCATCTTTTAACACATAAGACTGTTAAGGATTTGAAATGCAGTCAGTGTGATTATGCAACCAATTACAGGTCAAATTTCAACAAGCATCTGTTAACCCATAGTAAAACTGCCAAGTATTTAAAATGTGCACAGTGTGATTATGCAACTATTTTTAAATCCAATTTGAAAAACCATCTGCAAAGACATAATGCTTCCATTGATTTCAAATGCCCTCAGTGTGATTATGGAACCAATTACAAATCTAACTTTAAAATCCATCTTCTAACGCATAAGACTGACAAGGACTTGAAATATACACAGTGTGGTTTTGCAACCAACAACAAATTCAAAACGCACAAGGTCACCGAAGATATAAAACATAACATTGCCACCGATTTTGAATGTGCTTGGTGTGATTATGGAACCAATTACAAATATTCTTTTAAAAGGCATCTGTTGTCACACAAAACTACCAAGGAGTTACAATGTGCACACTGTGATTTCGCAACTAATTACAAAGCTTATTTCGAAAAACATTTGCGAACACACTAGATTGTTGAGGCCTTCAAGTGCTGTTTGTGATTACAAGAGCCAATAACAAATTGCCACTGATTTGGAATGAGCTTGGTAGTGATTATGGAACCAATTCCAAACACAAGCAACACTGCGCTGTTGTAATTGTTATAATTATTTAAATTATGTTTATCTCTAGATTAACGTACAATTATGCACTTTAATCTATGAGATATATGATTTAACATTTATCCTATACATTGATAGGACCTATACGTGAAGTGCCTTATAATACGCTAAACCTTTTTATTTAGTAAAAGTACTCCGATAAGGAATTCGATTACATAATCTTTAAATTTTTTGAGGACTTTTCGTCAATTTGTCTAATCTTTAATATTTATTCTTCACCTACTACTAATGTAGACGATATGTAAGATCACAGGGCATATGTTATAGAGGCATCTCGCATATATTAGGCAACACAATATCAGTGTATAAATTGATCTCTAAAGCACACAGGCGTTGTGCCCTTAATGTTGTAGTGCCTTATGCCCGTTTGCACCAACAAATTTAAGTGGAGCTTAGCTTAAGCGTCCCTTAAAATCCATTGTCTCAATAATCGTTGCCATGGATTTTAAGGGACGCTTAAGCTAAGCTCCACCGTTGAGTGAAAAGTAATAAGAGACGCAACTTGATCAATTTATATGAGGCTTGTGCGGGCACCGACAAATAGATGCGCCAGTTGTCAAAAGGCACCGAGATCACAGAGTACTTGACTTTTATTCGGTGCCGAGGCCCGAGATGTTTCAGTGACGTAATTGATTGGAAAGTGTTGGTGATGACGTCACGACAGGGCTGCCAAATAAACAGCTGATGGAAATAAAACAATTCATTCACAAAACACAAATTCATTTTTAGTGCGCGTTTTGCAATGGCGTTTTGTTTCCGATTTCCCTTTTTAGTGCTACTGTCGTGGATGTCCACATGATTCAAGACGGGAAACGTGCAGTTGTTCCGATTTCCAGCAGAAAATAAACAATTTTACTAGTGGAAAAAGATGTGCAGGTAAGATCTTTGAAACCCAAAGCCCTATTTGTACGCCAAATGATAGTTCAGAAAATAATAAATACCTATTCTTCTCTACAAAAGTTTATTACTCTTTACTCACCTTGCACAATATTAATTGTAGTAGAGCGAGCCAATCGAGATCCGAAGTAGAGTGATGGTAACAACATGTTGGGTCACCACTACCATATTATTCCCATGGAATAAAGAGGGCACATGGAAATTTCTTTATCGAGAAACGTGGAAAAGGTGTGTATTAATAAACATTTTTCTGAAATTTGAAAGTGTATTTTCAGAAAAACCAAAAAAGTTTGACCAGTAAGAAATGTAACGAAGAACCCGGAGCCATGGAAGCAGGTCCTTTCACTTCAACATTTCTGCTAAAATCTCGAACACTTGAAAAAACCGAGTTGTACTTTTTCAAAGAAGAAAATACTAATTTAAATGAAACCCTACAACTACAACAGTGTGAAAAAAAACTATTGTTCCAAGATATTAGTGGGGCTCACTTTTTAGTGTAGCTGGGCTGTGGAAATCATACCACCAGACTATCTATTATGTACGTTGATGAAGTTTCGATTAAATTTAAAATATTTTAAGTGTTTTAGATTTACAGTGAGTAGGTAACATGAAAATGCAAAACATTATCGTCACATTTATATGTGCTACTTGTAATGTTGTACGCGGGCCTTATGAGTAATATGAGTAATAGAGAGAAAAATTATCTTTTTATATCGACATGCTTCAAAGACATCACAAATGGCAGAATTGTGTTGGATTGCACGGAAATTGAAGGTGCAATTCCGCATTCCTTTAAAAAAGCTTTATCTTCTGATTACAAGCAGTGCAGCAACAACTTTTGAGAGTGATTTATTTCCAGGATCATTACATTAGACAAAGTGGCGTCATGCCTCATTTGAGAGAGCATTCCACTGTATTGTTCAAACTTGTGCACCACTAGATTTTCAATATGAGAATTAAAAAAATGTTTACCATTGGCCACTGATTAAATAAATTAAAATTAAGGAACATGTACAAATAGTTTTATTTCATTTTCCATATGTGTAAATATCAATACATATTTAATTAAAAACTAAAATCACTTACTAAGAAAACTAACAGATAACAATACAATACTAACTGTTTTAATAATTTACCTAAAAGGTTACAAACATATTAAATTTGAATTGTTCTCCATTCTTACATCTATCGCAATTTAGGAGTCCACATGACAAAGATCTTTTCATCATAAGAACAAGTTCTTGTATTTAATGAAAAGCATGGTGTGACCTTTTCACATTTGAACTACCATCAAATATGAATTTTTGCTCATTCTTAATTCATCTAGTATTCTATGACCAATGACCATGTCCACTTTGGATTTCATAAGATCTTATGAATTCATTACGCTTTCTTCAGACACAGCGTTAATCCTGCGCGGTTCTATCTGAACGATTTGAAACATTTTCATGTAAATAAAAATAAGGTCCTCTTGAGAATCGCGCGATTACCGGCGTGTCGGAACAAGCACGCAAATAATAATTACTGCTATTTTCCATCGCGAACGCCAAAATTGACAAACGTGATTACCATGACATCCACTAGTATGGGCACTTGATAATTTTGAATTTTGTTTTATGAAAAATGCAAATAAAATCTGTTTGGACCGTTGTAGATTAAATTTTGAATGATACAATATGAACATTATTAATGAAACCTGTGGAACTAAAACTACGTGTTACACCTCGTGATTTTAACGTTACACGCGTTTCATTATGATGATTATATCGAACTTGTATCATTAATAACTAGTATCTGCTCCCACGAAGCCATAGCTAAAAAACCATTCCCACAAAGTCATATTCTGGTTAGAATTAGTTTTACGTTCATCATTTAACTCGCGAGTTTAACTCCCACTGTATCCACTTTTATTCCATCTAAATTCCTTTCCTTTAGTCCAGAGAAATCCAAGCCAGAATCCACTTTATTCCGTATAAATTCCTTTTTTTGGCGAAGAGGAATAGAAAGAAGCAGGACATCTACAAACAATTTTTCAATTGGTTTAGTAAAAAAAAGTGCTGTAATTTTCAGATAGGTACATTTATAATAATAAATTAATAATTTCCTGTGATCACAAAGAAGTAGCTTTAAAAACTCTTCTTATCTCATTATCTACTATCCAGGAATAAAAATAAGTTTGTATTGTTGGCATTTCTAGATTAATAGGTATTAATTGACGTTTGTTAATTTAAAGGTTGACAGTTTCAAATCGTATCTCATCGGACAACCTCAACAGACTCCTTGACTCTGCAACTCACATACCCAGGCCATGTCCTTCACCATATTTATTTGCAATTAGCAGTCGGGTCTAAAGCCCCAGTCAGATAGGTGTAGTACGGTGCCGTTGCCTTGTTGTGCAGTGCGGGTCGGTGCTGTCATGTTGACATTTGCATTCACAATCACCGCAAAATTGGCCCGGCTCCACAAGTATGAACTACCAACAACAACGGCAGCAGCAAATTAGCTTTGACAGATCGTCACGACAAATATGTTGCACTTCCATTGGTACGCTAACTGGAGTGCAGAAAGTTTGAGGAGTACCACCTATCTGCATGGGGCTAAGTGTTTCATACATTGCTTATTTAAAAAGAATTTAAAAATTGTGTGGAAATTAATCTTACTTACCTGTTTAGTGCTTTCAATCTCATCCTCTGTTCGTGGCACCACATTGCACTTTCGGAAACAATTCCAACACGGAAACTGCGTTGTTTCAATAGATGAGATTGGCTCTTTCCATTAGGATACTGTATCAGTTTTTCTCTCAATTTTACGAATATTGTTATTTGCATACAGCAAAACAGCGCAGATATGCTGTTACTAAATTGCCACTTGCTACAATTCTTCTTCGTTTAAATTAACCTAAAATAAAATGTTGAGTTACCTGCACTTATATCACATATTATTATAAAAAAACCTTATGCAAAGCATTATTCCCTTACCGCCACTTGCATTTCTTTTCATACTTCCTTCATTCATTTATAAGCATTATTTGTTCATGTCCATTAAATTACACCGCAAGCACATTTCCACTAACTAGGTATATTCGCATTTACCAAACGCGGTAATTTCTTCAGAAAATGCTCGAAAAGGTCGGACAAGTTTATTAACGCCATGTTACAAATAAGGTAAACAAACTCCCATCAGCTGTTTGGGGGTCGGGATAAGACGTGAATGACGTCACACTTTCGTAATAGTATTAAGTCCAAAATTAAAATACGATGGCAGCACTATCCATAAACTTGTTTTTTGTCAGCGCCGCACGGAAAACTACGGCAAGTGAGATAGAAATATAGATGTCGCCTTAGAAAAAGAAAGAGGACTTAAGGTTATCGCAATTTTATATACAGTTGCGCCTCTTTACTATTTTTCACTCAACGGTTGAATGCATGACAAGCTCTCGTGGGGTAGATCAAGCCACATTATTCGAAACGGCATATGATTTACGTGAAACATTTCTTCCACCTGATTACGATGACGACCTCTTAAAAGATATAAAAGCTCGGATACAAAGTCCTACCGAAAATATCGACATTTATTTTGCGACTTTGCAAAACATCTTTACTAGGTTTGCTCAGCCACCTTCTGAATTACAGCATGTGAAAATTATTCGATGAAATTTACTTCCATTTTACTTAGACAAATTGGGTTCCAGCACTCAAACATCCGTTTGTGTATACTACGCGAGTGCAAAACCTACGATGTAATGTGGTACGAAATTAATAGTTTATTTATTTATTATCCCTCTCTTGCTCTGGGCCCTCAACAGGCATAATGCTTTTTAGAGGTGCCTCTGCAGAAGGTCTTAAGTTGTTCTATACTACCTTACCAATTACGAAAACTGCAGGAAAACATAATTCGGAGTCGCCGGCAGAATGCTCGAAACTAGTCTTAGGTAATTCCCATCTTTGCCACAGATGAAAAATTCACCACAACCCAGGTTCGAATACCCGACCTCCGGATTTATAGCCCAACGCTCTACCAATGAACCATAAAACCGAGTTAATGCATTAAGAAATAAGAGTACTTTGTAACCAGAGTTCTCCTATCAAACATCTCGTCAAAATGTACCGCGCACACCACTTCATTCGGCGAATGCTCCGTGTTGGAACTGCCAAAAGTTAGGTCATACGATGTCTGAATACCCTGACTCAAAATTATTACTAAACTACCGTTCTGGTGGGATTCAATATCCTATAATTGTCCCTGTTCGGGAAACGCGGCGAGATACCTCCTCAGTCCAGGCGAAATCCGTACCTACGACCACTTTTTGCGCAATTATATTATAATTACTTATTCAATGGTTGAACGCACTCGAAGATCCCTAGGGACGTCTTGCAAGGTGGGCGCTGAGCCTGCAACCTTATAATTTTAAGGGAACTTTGAATTCGATTGGGAAGTTAGTAATGAAAATTAAGTTAATAAATAAAAGTTTTGTAGTTTGAAACACTTTTTTTTTTAATGGTGACTGGGAGAAGACCCGGTCTTGGGATAGTGTAACGGTTTACATGTTAGATTTGAGCTGACGCGCTAAGTAGGTGAAAGCGTTATCAGAGTGGAAGATGATATGAGAACATAAATTTGCGATTCGATTTGCTATCGCTTGTTACCTATAACAAATTGTAGCTCAAGTGAACATGCAATCCGTTTACCAATTTAAATAATCAGTAACAATGATTAATTAATTCCTCTAAAAATAGCAAATTTGTTAAAAAGTGTAGCTAAACCCCTAAAAAACGGTTGGAAATTAATGCTGTTTATCAAATTTGTTACAATGTTATTAAAATTACGTCTACGATCTAATTAAGTGCAACAATATCAAAGGGTCCGATGAAGCGAATTAATGACAGATTTAATGCTCACATTGCTTTCAGCTCTACAAAGCTTTGACCTTTTCTCCCTATTAAGTTGCGTGTACTTTTTGTTTAAAATAACCTCAACTCGTATTTAAGTATAACCTGATTGCCCAATTTGTGGGCATACTTTTTTTACCACACTTTGTTATTGTAGATACATCGTAATAGAACCGATCGAACCGGCATATTATTTTACACACAGGCAATGGCTGGTTCAACTCACATTTACGGATTACGTATTCATTATCCATTAGCTTTCCTTTAATTATAAAACAAACAAAAGCCAGCAATCATGCACTTATATCGACTAACAAATACATATTAAATCTCTTTTGCGATTCAATTAACACAGTTACACGTGATGTTTACTTTACGTATATTCATGCTAAACATGGACGTATACAGACTGCATCCATTTCATCAAAAGCTCTTCTCACTTCTTCCAGTTCTTCACGAGAAACAACTAACAACTATATGACCCCACACCACACATAAAAGTCCATTGGCGTTATATCTGGAGATCTAGACTAGGAGGCCAACGCCACGGACCTGTGGGCCATCTACCCGTCTTCAAAAATGTTCGTCAAAGAAATATAAGCATCATGGTCTCTCCGTCAATTATTCTTTTGACTATGTGGATTAGCTCATTATCGCTAAAAGGGTGAAAAACTACAAGTTGGACATTTAATCCACGTGAGTATGGGGTGCTTTATTTAGCGTCTGAGAGTATTTTATTGATTGTGTGATGTGACAGGAGCCAATTGAGAGGACCTATAAACGGGATTACGTGTTGAGCCGTGGTAGAGCTCGCCGTCCAAGCGTTGACAACGATCGGTTCAGAGGAACCTGTATGGGAAATGGACAAGGATAAAAACTATTTTGGTGTGCCAATTAGTACGCCTCGAAATTATCTCGGTTCTTTCTCTACGTCAAGTAGTGTATACAGTTGTAAATTGTAAGTTGGAACGGCCGCCTTCCGGTACGAGTCTGAATTAAGCTACATCTATTTTTGGTTCCATTCCACACAAACTCAAAAGTCGAGGATGTTCTAGTTGCTCAACTCGGAATTGCTCGAAGGGTAGACCTAGAATTGGCGTGCATGTACCTGGTAAGAAGAAAATTCTTCTAGCTGGGTCATCTATAATCGTATAGGTATAAAAATTAGGCTTTTTTTTGTGTGTAAAACAAGATAGCGTATATTTTTTTCAATTGTTAAGGGGGTTTATCTTAATTAGTAAGGTAAAACCCGACCACGTTCAAAAAAATAGTAACCATTTCGGGATCGTTTACCGGAAAGGTGAAGGACTTTATACGTTACTTCTTGGTTTCGAACGGGTAGCAGGTAGATAGCCAATCAACTATTAAAATACACCGTTTATAACGTTTGGACTTTCCTTTTTGCAGCGCAAATTATACTAATTCAAGAAACGAATGCACATTAATTGAGACATTCACTAAGTTAACGTCACTATATACAAGGTGCCAATTTTAAAACTTGCAGTCGGCCATATTTTGCAAACTAAAGAAGATATTGAAAATCGCGCAACACCGTTTCCGGGGTATCGAAGGGGAACCAGAATGACGTTATGGGTGACAACCCCCCACCACCCTTAACCCCCCATCCCCAACCCCACACTTGTGACACATCGTTAGAAAGCCACTGAAAATGCTTTCCAGTGGTACCAATAAAGTCAATATTCATTAAGACAATTTAATGCCAAGAAAGCATTCAAGGTCCTTTTTATATACTAGGACTTCACACAAATTAAAAGAAATCTGGCATATTATACTTAAGAGTGAAATCAATATTCAGTCGAAAGGAAATAGACAAAGAAGTATATCATTATCTCTGTCTTCCGAAAATTCCAAATTATGCTAAAGCCCCATTCAGATATATGGTAGTGCAGTGCTGTGGCGGTGTGGTGCTTTTGTATCTTTGTTTCTTCCGCCTGTTGATCAACCTGGAATTGTGGAAGACTATGATGGTATTCATTTTGGAAAATTTTACCTACAACAGAGCTTTTATCTCTGCTGGATGAAGTACTTCAAAAACTAGAAGAAAGAAATTTCCTGATCAGTGTCATGCATTTGAAACAGTTAGACGTGCACTTTTATTACGAAAAGTAGATAGATCACAGGAACTCCTGCTAAGTGGCTTAGGTCATATCTGTTTGAGCGCGGTCAACAAGTCGTGTTGAGGCACAGAGCTGGAGAAGCATTTTCCATCTTTCTCCCCAGAGCAGTACTCTTGGACCGTTTTGTTATTTATATTTCATCAATGACGTAATCAATCACAGGACGAGTATGGATTGAAGGCATATACGGTGATGGTCTGAAAATGGCTACGGCAGCGCAAGCTGTCAGGTTAGGATCTATTCATTTGATTTCGACGGCCAAGGAGTATGCCACGACTACATAGGAGCACACAGCCGAGCATATGTATGTGGCAAAATCAGCTCGTGTGAAAAGAATCCTTGACCTTGAGGATTTTGAAAATCGCGAAAATCGTTCGTGGCTACTTGCATGGGATTGCGTACAACTATGAATTTTGAAATTATTCCGGTTGTCATTCGGAATACGAGTATAAATGTAAAAATATTTCTTCCTCTTCTACTCAAAAGATTAAATTAAAAAAAACGGTTGCATAAATCCTACTAGCTATCTCCTTGTACTACTGGTGGAAGCAAACCCCCCAACCCCTTCACAACAACACCACGTGAATTCTATTTAGAAGAGGTGGGCAGTTTGAAACCGCTCCGAACCTCGTGGTTTGCAGGATGCGGTAAAAACACGCAGCTGAAACTCTACTCGATGAGATAATCAACACTGAAGTAATATGGTATAGAATTATATCATTATTACTTCCGTTTTATGCGACTTGTCAGTGGAAGGAACTGAATTGCATAATTTTAGTGCGTACGTTGAATTGATGATTTTGATTTGTTTGTCTAGAATTAATGGTTACATTGTTTACTAGTATAAAATTTAATTAACAGGACAGTAAGGATATTTTTGAGTTTAGTAAGGGTTTACACTTTTGTTGTTTTAAAAGGATTGTAAGAATTTGTTTGATTTCATTATTTAACTGTAGCAAATGCATTCAAGTTTTTATTTTTTATTTTTTATCACATTCTTCACTAAGGGGAGCAAAGAAGAGTTTATTGCATAAGCACACTAACATTGAAGTTGCATAATCTTTTCAAGCATTCAAATTTCTGAATATTTTGCTAATAAAATAGTTGATATTTTTCTAAATCACTGGTTACGATTTTTTTAATTATTAATGTATGTAGCTTCATCATTGAGATAAAAAATTGATTGTATTCTTTCATATTTTTAACCATCTTAATCTGAACTAGCTTGGGAAGTAAATTACGGAAGGCAGGGCCAAACGTACTTACCATGAAGAGAAGTTTACAAGAAAAACTTA